TCAGCACGCAGTCGCTCCGATGCAGGAACTCGTCGAGCAAGTGTGACCATGACATGACAAAGACCTGCAGTCATGCTTCCTCTGAGCCTTCTGAGAGTCTTCAGCATAGAGACATGTTGGCATCCCCGCTCCGTTTGAGATAATTCAACAAGGCTGTCCATTGCTCCAGATGGAGGATGACTGAGGAATAGGAGCCGACATCGCTTCCATGAGTTTAGATGTTTTCAAACACATGGCTGGCAATCGTTTCTGTTTTGCATTAGGCCGACTGGCTGTCGGGATTCTTCTGAAAGGAACTGAAAGTCAATTATCTACACCATTTCTCTCTGATATCATTGTGCTAATACAAGTTGCTCTTGACCTCATGCTAGTGTCGTCTGGGGCTGATGAAAGTAAGGCATCTCTCATGATTGGATTAACTTCAGATGTGGTGAGTGTCTGGGAATATTACAGCCCAGGCTCTATGATCTGCCCTCGTCTCCTCGTCTTCTCCTCCATCTCTGCCCCAAACCCTTATCTGTGGCCCAGGGCACTTAAACCCCACATTACACACACATACACTCGACCTGGGAAGAGCTCTCTCTGGCACTGGCTCTGTAAGCTTCAACACACACAGGCTTGATAATCGACTCAATTATAAAGGTCCAATTGCCACAGCAAATTGATCCAAGTTATAACATTATCATTAGCACTTCAACTATGGCAATTATAGGACATTCACAGGCAGAACTAAGAATAATGGGGAAGGAAAATGAAGTGACTTTGTACAAAAGGACATCCATTTCAGACGCACTGGGTGGTGTAAATAGCTCTGGTGTCAGCAGTATGGAGATAAAGGAATTGAAACTTTCCATCACATATGTTAGCAGCTTTATGCACGGAAGCGGTTCTGTAACAGATGAGTGGGTGGGAGAATTAATATTAAAAATAATTTTTTTTTAAATTGGAAAAATGTTTTTTATTTATTTATTGGAAATATATGATGACAGAAAGAAAGAAATACTTTTATTAGCAAGGATGCACTTAAAAGTGAAAGCGGAGACTTTACATTGTTACAGAAAATTCTATTTCAAATAAATGCTGTTCTTTGAACTTTTTCTTTTTTTTATTCATCAAACAATCCTGAAACAATGTATCTCGGTTTTCACAAAAATATTCAGCACAACTGTTTTCAACACTGATAATAATAATAAAATGCTTTTTGAGCAGCAAATTCAGCATATCAGACTGATTTCTGAAGGATGCAGTAATGATGCTGAAAATTCAGCTTTGCATCACAGGAATAAATTACATTTTAAAATATATTAAATAAAAAATCATTTTTAAATTGTAACAATATTTTACAATATTACTGTTTTACTATATTTTTGAAATAAATAAATAAATAAATACAGCCTTGGTAAGCATAAGAAACCTTTCAAAAAATGTAAAAATCTTAACTCCAAAATTTTAAACTCCAAAAATAAAATAAAATTACAAGAATATTTGTAATTATTTATTATTGACAGCCCCTAACATACACACACACACACACACACACACACACACACACATATATACAGTATATATAAATCTTCAAAAAAATTTAAATTAAATAAACACTCAGATCACACACACAACACAATGCCTGTATGCATTTAACAATAATGCTATCTACCAAATGCTAGATCCACAAACAGACATTTTGCAGAGCATTTAGCAATAGGTAGATAACTGATTTGTAGTAAACGGTCATTTTCTGTACAAGGATGCAGAGAGTCTACATTTTTAATGGTTAACAAAATATATCTTAAAAGCATTTCAATCTGAATGGCCCTATGACGTTGCTCTGAAAAGGTCAATAATGTAATAAGAGATTCATCATCTCTTGCAGAGTCCTGACTACTGCTGCCTACAAGCAGAAAACACAGAAACAACATCCTTTTAAAAGCTGGAGATCTCAGCACTGTTTAATATTCAGGTGAAGAAGGTTTTCTTGCAGTATGTGAAGCAGTGTGTGTGTGTGTACATGTAGCACTATTGAGGCCTGACTTGCTCAGACAGGGAGATGTCAGCAGCGAGTGATATAAGACTGAGCTCCACAGCAGCCTCGCTCTGCCATACAGAGAAGCCGACAGCCTGGAAAGAGAAGACGTCCTCAAATCTGAAGGCTCTCTCGCTAATTGTTTCTGAAAAAATGACATTTGTCTTTTTTGCACCTTGCTTCAGGTGTCAGTGCCTTTCACATTAGAGGGCTTGCGATGGTGCGATTGCCCTGAAGCAGTTTGTTTGATGTTTTGAGGACTGTCATTTCCACGTGCAACTCCATAGAAATTGAAATCTGTATTTATTTACATGCAAGGTTAATAAAAAAAGATGCCTAAGTGATTTGAAAGTCAAACAACTGCACCTGCCATTCAAGCATAGTTTTATGCAGACCAGGTTTAGCACATTGTTACAATGAAGAAATACAATGGTAGAATAAAATAAAATGTACTAGCTTATATCTGATATATATATATATATATATATATATATATAATTGTACCAGCTTATATCTGAAGTCCTCATCATGACACTTTTCAACTGGCATTCAGTTGCATTCTTTGTTTACTTGCTTGAAAGCTTTACTTCTATTCTAGTTACCTTTTTTTGTTAAGAAAAACATTAATACACAAGTGCATAATCAAAATCAAACACAAAAGTAAAATTATGACCTTGTGTTAATTGTTAAATAACTTTCAGAAACCTTGTACTGTGGCCTCAGGGTTTCAGCACAGATATTTCAAAACAAAGCTAATAATAATCATCATCATAATCGTAATAATAACAATAATGTTGCTGTTGTTGTTAAAATTGAAATGAAAACATTCCCACATCTAATTACTCAGAAAATAATAATGAAGATGATAATAATAATAATATTGTTTATTATTATTATTATTATTATTATTATACAATTACAACATTTAGGTACCTCATCATCGAGGTAAATTTGTCTTTTTGATCACTATATTACAGTTATTTTATACTTTCTCTTCAGGCAGGCAAGGCAAACTGCGGTCTAAACATAACATTATGTAGACAACACTGCCACTTGCTGCAAGAAAGCAAGTACCGCATTCTCTGCTTCAAGAAATAATAAAAATAATAAATACTAAATCCTGTCTGTGTGTGTGTGTGTATAATATATATATATATATATACACACACACACACACACACACACACACACACAGATTCTAAATACACACACAAAAACTATTTACTGCTACTGTATACATTATGATTCATATCACTTTATTGTTGGGTTACACAAGTTACCTAATTTTGCTGTGCGCTAATTATTTTTTAAAAATGTAAGTGGATTTTGTCTATATTAGGCAGCCACCTCTAAATGCAAATGAGAAGACAGTCACAACAGCTCTTTTATAATAGTAATGCATTTTTAAAAATACAACTCTATTTATTTGCTACATTTGAAGAAAACAAAGGAGCAACCTCTTGAATTATTTTGTTTCATATTAACAGTTTTGTATGTATTTTCCTTTTTTCTTTCAGTAGCAGAAGGCTTTTTTTTTTATTATTGCTTACTCGAGCCCTCTGAGAGGGTTTGTGAGCATATATCAAGGTGATGCACTGACAGCCAAAGGAAGAGCAAATTCAATCAGGGCCGGGAACAGGAAGAGAAGCGCTCTCCACAGATGGCAAGACGCATCCTTTCAGTCCTTAAACAGACACTGAGAGCAGCCGAGGGACCGGGCCCTGTCTGTAGATTGTGTCAGAGAACTGTGGGTACTTGGCACAAGTAGCAGGAACAATTAGCGTCACATAAGCTTCCAGGAGCAATGGGAGAACAGGATACGAGAACACGGCATCTGATTTTCAGCAAGAGGACTTAAACTGTTATTTACAGGCATCTCTTCTTGTCATTAAACAGCAAGAGTAAGATTCAAAGACAGCGGTAGTCATGCCCCATATTTCACTGCTGATGAGTTATGTGTGGGCAGGGAGATTTGTTTGCATCCGTGCATACCTAATTAACGAATCGACAGAGGAAGTAGGCCTCTCCTTTGAGAATGCCCCACCACCCAGTCTCTGATACTGGGATTGCGTTCTTCTTAGCATTGTGCTCTGGTTCTCTCATTGTGAAACCCACACTCACACACAGACAAATGTGCCATTTGAAACGCCAGTAGTAAAATGGAAAGTGATTTTACTTTAATGACATGGATAAAATAGGATAAAATAAAATAAAAAATCAAATTATTTTAAGTATGCTGTTGTGTGACATCTGTTGTTGAGAGAACATACGACAGAAAGTTGTACATAAAACAAAGATTATTGAAGTACATTTTACAAGAAAATACTATTTCAGTTTTTCTACTACTTTTCTTTGTAATTGTTTGTTAAAATCTACAAGCAATTTCTGAGTGGAAATTGCTATTTGTGTATACTGATTACTTACTTTACAACATCATAAGATGTGTGGTAAAGCAAGGTCCTCATGCTGGAATATTCACGCTGATAAAATATTCAATAACTTGAGCACAAAAATTAATGATAATCAGTAGCTTCTTGGCAAATATTGGCAAAAGGGATTTCTTGTGTAATTGTACCATTCATAAAGGTAGGCTACAGTATTTGAAACGGCAACTTGAATTTACAGTAAATGAGAAGAGTAGGCTACTATGCCACTGAAATCTGATGGCACTGGAAATGAAGTTAAACCAGCCTGGAAGCCTCCTGAACGGTCTCAAAATCTCAACTCTTTGCAAATTATATGTCATTCTCCCCAATTTTCTATCTAGATTGTGTTAAGCTTTCTATTCAGTGTATTATCATGCTTTTCCCAACAGCCATTGAACAAAAGTACTTGTATGGTAAACTTTGATAAAAATCAATATCATGCAAACAGCAGCCTCGCCTTCTTTTATCTGAGGGGGACAAACAAACAAAAACATGGACTTTCTGCCTTAAATAGTCTAAATAAACTCTCACTTGCACACATCACAGTTGCACTTGTCTCCTGTTTCTGTTGATTAAGCCTGGCTCCTGACATTAAGATGCTTTCTACTATTTGCCTCCTCTTGGCATTAACAGGTAGGTTTATGGCTGCTTTCATTATGACTAGTTATGTTCACATAGGTAAATATTCAGTAACAGTAATTTGTCTTCGAAATATTGCTTGATAAATGCAATTACTTGACATTTTGGGGTATTTTGGCCTGAAGGTAGCAAATTGGGTGCCTAGAAGTTGTATAAAGACATTTTTAAAGGTCACCTAGTCTGTTTAATGTTATTGTAATGAGTGCTGTAATAAGATGAGATCTTGCAGCAGGTAAATGCCACCCTGATAAACCAGCTCTACAAATACTATGTAATGATAATGTTGGCTCTCCTATTCTGAAATTACGTGTGCTTTTGTTTCCCCAGCAATGTTAATACTGTTACCTGATGTCTGTTCACTTTATGTGTAGGACTCTGCCAGTCTGCTCTGATCAGCAAGAGTCACAAAGGAGATGATCCTCTGCTGCAGTATGTGGTCAATAACTCTCTGAGGGAGCACCCAGTGCTGACCAAACTATGGCTGGTGGGTAGAAAAACACCTTTAGGACATGTGACACCAGAAATAATTAAATAAGCAAATCATGACATAAAATATATATTTTTTAAAACAGTTATGTAAGAAATAAAAGTGTACAGCAGTATTCAAAAGTTGCATTGCATTCTCTTTTAATCCTTGTATTATGTACGAATTATGGGTATGATTTTTGTTGACTCTAATTAGATTCAATACAATTCACAAAAAGAAAAAAAAAATCTAATTCTCAAAAAAATAAAAATAAATAATAATAATAAATAAAATCTGCTACAAACAGTAAATCTTTAACTTTAATACTTCTCACACATTTGTGCTTCATCTTGTGTTTCAAAGGAAGCAAGAACATCTGACTATTTGTACAAAGGAGTTCACAAATGCATTGACAGAAATTTGTTAGATTATATATTATAAATGTCCTTTTCTTCAAAAACCTAAAATTCTCTATATTTCCAGGTTTTTTTTCAGTTTCAGTGTACATTTTAACGTAACTTTTAAACTACTGTACATGTTAATATGATTTTTGATATATTTATGTGTAGTTTCACACACTAACACTAGAGGTCAGTAGATCTGAATATACTGCACAAATGGCCTTTTTTACCTGTATATTTATGATTTAAAGTGGTCATATGATGTTGCTAAAAATAACATTATTTTGTGTATTTGGTGTAATGAAATGTGTTTATGCGTTTTATGGTTCAAAAAACACATTATTTTCCACATACTGTACATTATTGTTTCTCCTCTATGCCCCGCCTTTCTGAAACGCGTAGATTTTTACAAAGCTCAT